ATTTTGAGTTCTGGAAGAAGCTGAGGACCGCACCAGGTGTTGTGAAAACGAGCAAAGTGTGTTGTAGACATGTCTAAATGCCTGCAAGGTGTCCACAGTTAACTTTCACTCCAGGATCAGGGTTCTATGCTTGGCAGAAGATAAGTTACAGTCTCCAAGGGTACATGCTTACCAAATGGATCATTACCAAGTGCTCCCCTAGAATATGTATCTCCTCTTCAATTGATTACTCAAACTGCTATTTATGCAGGGAACCTTAACGGGAAGCAGTCTGAAATGTTCCTTAGCAGCCATCTTTAAGTAAAGAATTAAGGCTGGCGGCTCTGTTCCCTGCTCTCAAAGAACACAACAAAACTTCTCTAACTGACCCACATGAAGGGTGGGATGCTCTGATGAACCAGTTTTTCTTTTTTTAAGATTTTATTTATTCATTTGACAGAGAGAGAGACAGTGAGAGAGGGAACACAAGCAGAGGGAGCAGGAGAGGGAGAAGCAGGCTTCCCACCAAGCAGGGAGCCCAATGCGGGGCTGGATCCCAGGACCCTGGGATCACGACCGGAGCCGAAGGCAGACACCTAACGACTGAGCCACCCAGGCGCCCCCTGAACCAGGTTTTCTAGCAAGTTCAGGGCTCACCAGAAACAAGACCTTTTTGCATTAACCTTTATTCTGCAAAATCTTTATCAAGTATAATTATTTCATTTTTCTATTAAAATTTACTTACCAAAGTAGAAACACAACTTAATCTTTCAAAATGGAAGCTCTGGAAAGACCACTAGGTGAACAAGAGATGCCTCAGTTCTTTTTACCTAGCACTGCTCTCAAATTGACCTATGTCCAGGTCTGTTGTTCCATATGTACCTTGAGGCATGATGCCATTCCCAGAGTTAATCACAGATTCAGCTACATACAAATCTTTTTATACAAGGGGATCATGAGAGAATTAGACTGTTTTCCAGTCTTCTAGCTAAGCGAGGGTTAACTGATGGGGAAAGGAGAAAACCAAAAGGTCTCCACAGTGCAGGAATCTGAGAGCATGGCTACAGGTCATCCCCCACATTGCCCCTACACTGGGAACCTCCTCATTCTGATACAACTTTGTCCATGCTGTTCCTTCTGCCCAGAACAGACTTTACTGTTTTCTTGTCATCTTAGATGTGAACTCATACCTCAAGACCTAACTCAAATGCTACTCACTCCTCTAAACATTTTTCAACATCTTTAAGCTCTATGAAAGACTAGAATAAAAATGAGTGTGAGCTTAGAGGATATTTAAATTATCAAGAAACATAATACATTTATATGGTGGTATTTTTTATACACAGGGTCTTTGTTCCCTGCCTTTTCATTGTGACTATGTACTTTTTCTCCCAACACATGGCATGTTCTACAGCAGTGATTCCCAAACACCAGATATTCAAATACCAATTACACATTTTTTTGGTCATAACTGTTGGCCACCTGTAATAGTATTTACTTGCTTAAAATTTTTTTTCTTAATTGATTTTTTAAGAGTTAGATATTTGCTTCAAAAACAGCATCACTTGCCCTAAATAGAAGTTATCCTTAAAAATAAATACAATGAAAATAAAACAGTACTGTTAAATTCTGGATAAAACCACTGCATTCGAAGACTTTGGGCTTAAGGTCCATAGTTTTTGTTTTTTGGGTGTTTCTTGTTGTAATCAGACAGGAAGATCAGCAAGTTTTAGAGAAAACTGAAGACAGACTAGTACCAAACTGAGCTTTTCTCCCTTGTACACTCAGGGTAGAAAGAACTGACAATGAGACCACTGTCTTTTACCATCAGTGCAAAAGCCCACATTTTGAACGCTGATGAGCGCAGCATATAGGGAGACTGGATTCGAGATCCATTTGCAAGCGCCTAAATCTGTTTCAGTAAACAAGTCACTTTTCTATCCACCGATGCCCCGCCCTTCATTTTTCTTATTCACTCTCAGGAGAGTTTATGATCGTTTTCACGTGAAATAGTTTACTTTTATCATCACTTATTTTCCAGACTTTCATTAAATCAACAAAATGCTTTGAACCCATACCAGAAGCTCACCACTGAGACTGCAGCCACGGGGAAGACATTCGTGCCCTCGCTGAGAGTTATCTTTCTTTCTCCCCTTAGCTCTTTCCTCCTTTTTAAAATTACAGCGAATCAAATACCCAGTTTATTTATTTCAAACAGATGAAAAAATTAAAGATCGGTGCAGCTTAAAGCATACTTGAATCCAGAGCTTTTCAAAACGCCCCACTCCTCCCAAACACACATTAACCACGAAGATTGCCGTGGCAGTTTCCCCGCAGGCCACTAGGCGGCGCGCACATTTTTCGATTCTGAAAGAAAGTGCCTATGTGGGTACTACCCCTGAACTTTGGAATTGGTGTCTCCTTTCCCCATTTTCTATTCAACTTGGGGCAATTATGGAGAGCCCTCAGGTTCTCTCACTCCACTAAGCAATCCTCGACCCATGTAGTGACTCCTTGTCTGCCATTACGAAGAATTCTTTTGCTCCCCAAACCACAACAGTTTTGCTTCTGACTGTTTTCAGCATTTGCTCTTTTGACATTTTAGAAAAAATAAGATCCAAGTTTAATGTTGAAAAGAAAGCACTGATTTATTTAGTGAGAAGATTTCTTCTCCCTATTACTGTTTTCCCTAGCTGTGGGGAAAATGCTCCTCTAAGGATTTAAAGCAGCTCCTTTGAGCTAAAGAGCTTTCTGAGGAATAACAGAGCTCTTTCTGAGCCGATCTTTTGGAGCTGACATTGGTGCTCTTGTCAGCAGCATGTTGTATTTTTGAGGTCCAGCCTTTTTCTCTGAATTTTACATTCTGAATTAACAAGCCCTTGATTTCAGACACTGCAGAATACACTCCCAGACCAACTATCCCTACAAATCAGGATCCAAGACATATATCCAGGAGTTCCCCAAGTTCTTCGCCTGGTGGGTGGCCCTAGAACCTTAGACCTCACCATTTATCTGATCCCAAAGTCCCCTTCCCTCTAAATATCTACTCTGAGCTTTTCTTGGGAGTCAGCAAAGACATTAATGAAATAAATTGTAAATATGCCTTATTGCACATGGATATGGTAATTGCCTTTTGGATGAGCTCCTCCGAAGTTGACATGGGGAACTCCAGGAACAGGGTGTTAAGCAAAAAAAGAGTGAAGACTGGGCCTTGCCCACCCCTTTCTGTGAATCTCTATCAGCCTGTTCTTTAAGGAGATGAGCAACTTTCTTTTTCTTTTTTTTTTTAAGGGAGGTGTCAGAAGTCTTCTGAGGCTGCAGCTTTATGCAAATGCACTACTCAAGAAGAAGGCTTTAGGGGAGAGTTATTTATATCCCACAGGCATTACACATGCAAAAGGTGAAACTGTGAATCTCTGAATTTCCAGGAGTGAATGTTCTCATGATGAGCGCATCCTTGCAGTTAGCTATTTTGGTGGCACACAATTCCCATACCTGTCAGATTGTTCTGGGCAGGAGACTACATAATGATCCAGTAATTTTAGAATGATCCTGTATGTTTCTCTCCCAGTGGGACTGCATGACCTGAACTTTTTCTGGGATTAGATTTACTACCACCTTCATCTATCTAGTAATAGATACATTTCATTTCTTTTTCTCCTAAACAGGTACAGCTCTCAGTTATTAAAAGGTAATGATGTGGCACATTTATTGCCCCTTTCCCTTTCAGATTGACTCCTGGAATTAGCAAAGAAAATGGCCATGTCTCTAGGAATTATTGCCCTGCTCTGTCGCTGGCTTACCCTACCCATTCTCCACATCGAAGTCTACAGTAATCACTTCAGGAAATTGCTTTCCCTATTGGAAACTGAGAGCTCAAATCGGAATGTTTCCACAGCACAGCTGATGATAATTACGACTCACTGAAATTTCAGTTTTCTTTGATTGTGACATAAAAACTGGGACATAAATTAAAACCCAATTATCCTTTAAGGGTAATTGGGGTTATAAAACCAAGAGACTGTGAGTCAGTGTGTCGATATTGCAGAAGCACAGTGTCTGATGGAACAATATGTGTTCTGTATTCCAAACAGCCTTTGACACGAAATGGTTGGGAACAAGGTGATCTGTGTACAGTGTACTCAGACCAGGTGACAGCCTTGGAGAAATGGGCAGTGAGCTTCTAGGACATCTTGGAAAGATTAAAATATGCGAAAACTGTAATGGGAACGTCCTGGCCTTCACCTGTGAAGGTGCCCAGTGGTGGAACAAGGCACTCAGCGCCAAGACTCCAGCCAACACCTGAGTGCACACTTGCAAAATGTGGTTCTTTCTACCTGGGCAATAGGTACAGTTCTTTGGTGTAACACAATCTATATCATTATAGTCCACGAAAGGATGGACTTTGTTTTTCACAAAGGGCATGATCCCACAAAGGCTGCAGAAAAGATTTTTGGTAAATCAAGTCAAAAATTAACTGCACAAAGGGGAGCTCATTAAAGGAAGATTTGGATTATTCTTTAAGGACAGGAATTGCCCACATACCTGTGGCTCCCTACCAGGCCACTTCTTGATGATGCGTATGTGTATACTCTTCGGGTCAAATCTTATCCACCAAAACTTCCCAACCACGTACCCCAAGCCCTCTCGTGACACATCCCTCATTCTGGATTTTCAAAAGAGTTTCACTTCCCTGTCTTTCTAGAGAATTTTTTATTCGCTTCCATTGTGCACTGTTCGTATTTTTAAAAGAGTACATACCCACCACATGACAGTGACATTTTCCTCTCTGGCTCTGCCACTCTGCCCTTTCAGCTCCTTGACTGTGATGCATGTGTTGGGCACATAGCAGACACTCACTAAATGATGCTGAATATAATGCACCATTGAAACAGCATAACTCCAGATTTTTAATTCTTCTTTTTGGAAGGTAAATGCCATAAGTTATTAACTACACAGAAGACTTGACCAAACCCAGCTCCCTTTCAAAACCAACCAGGTTTTCCTTTGAGGGCACTCACCTCTGCAAACACTTTTCTGGCCGCAGGACAACATAAAGATCCAGACTAGGGTATCCAGCAGACCTCTGTTTTTAATTGTTGCATCAGTCTCATCAAGTCCCCTGAGAATCACGAGAGAGAAATGCAAGGTCCAGGTTATTTCCACAACCCTGGGAAACCAAGTTTGGATAGACATCTAGGGAAAGTGTTATGTCTGATCTGGGCTTTTGCAACCTTATTTCATAATCCACTTTCTTATCTACATCTCGCAAAACCAAAGAGCAATTGGTACAAACTGTATTGACAAAAGATCAGAACTTGATTCTCAATGGCAAAGGCAAGTATACATTATAAATAGCAAAACAGCTGGCTTGGACCATGTTGCCGGCCACTCATCCAGTTGAGGGATTTAAATGACATCATAACCCTTGAGAGGGTATTGCTAGCCAGCTGGTGTTATTTAGAATACACAAAAATTGGAGAAGGAAAACACACACACACACAGGTTCAAGTTATGCAGAAAAACATGAACAATGGAAAAATAGTTTGCCCCTCAGGTGCCCTTCCCTGGGCGGGGAGAGGAGTTGGGGAGAGGTTGGTAATAGGAAGCCTAGTAGAGAAAGGAAGAAAAAGATTTTATTTTTTCAGTTGGCTTTATAGCTCAGCAAAGTCTTTGCCCTGTTGCGGGCAAAAAGCATGAGACGGTGTCCTAAAGAGAGCCAATTGCAATGCTGCCTGCCCCTTTTCTAGGTTCTAGGAAATGAGATCATTCCCCTTGCTTGGCAACTAGGACAAGGGGTCACCCCAGTGCTGTCTTCCAACCTATTTTATCCCAGTCATTTCAGGGTTAAAATTGTAGGATTTGCTCGAGATGTTTTTTTTTCTTCATTTCTGCTTTTTTATTTTTGCATTTGCTCTAGAATAGAAAAATACTCGCCCATCCTCCATTGTATGTTCCTTTAATACCGGTAAGGTGTATTAGCAGATGTGTGTGTCTCCATGCCCAGCAGAAAGTTAACCAGAGGACAGATCCTTATTTTTTTATGGCAGCATCAGTATATTAATGTCTGCTAACCCTGTCACTAACACACATTCTTTTAAGGGAAAAAAATGCTTCTGTGCTCTAGTTTTAAAATGCAAAGGTATGATGTTATTTGTCACCATGCCCAAAAAAGTCCTTACTCGATAACTTTGCCAGAAGAGGGAGAGAGAGAGAAGGCAAATGTTCCCCCAGCTGTTTCCTGTCTACAGTGTCTGTGTTTTGTAGATAAATGTGAGGATTTTCTCTAAATCCCTCTTCTGTTTGCTAAATCTCACTGTCACTGCTAAATTCAGAGCAGATAGAGCCTGCGCAATGGAATAAAGTCCTCAAAATTGAAATGTGACATTGCTCTCAACATCTCCCATCTCTCTGGATTTCTTTTTGCCTCATTATTCCTGCTAACCAATTCATTTCCAGACTTTGCACTTCAGAAGCAATGGGAAAAATCAGCAGTCTTCCAACCCAATTATTTAAGTGCTGCTTTTGTGATTTCTTGAAGGTAAATATTTCTTACTCTTTGAAGTCATTGGGGAATTTTCTTTAAATTGTGTACTGTTTGCTTCTGCCTAGAAATGTTATTCACTTTAGAATTTTCATTGTTTCGGAACTGGGAGTTATTTATAAATTGCTGAATATGCAATTCTGTGGGATCTGAAAAACTAGCTCCGGGAGATGGATGCCTTTGCACAGATATCTGTATGAGTAGAAACTATTGCAGGGTACTTATGCTAAATCCTCCACTTGTGCAGGGCTTCAGTGGTATCATTATAGAAGATTCCTTTAAATCCTGTCTATGGTTAAGGGCTATAGAGCATGGATATGAACTTTTAGATTTTTTTTTTTTTTGCAGGTGCAGATGTTTTCTTTTTAAGACCATGTTTGTATGTGTGCACGCGCGTGTGTGTGTGTGTGTAACTCGTCAGGACTTTTTATTACAAGGCATGCCACATACGAAGTTACCTTTTAGGTGATATTAAAGCTTTTAAATATGATCTTTGGAGCTAAGGTCCTAGAACTCTCTGCACTTATGCCCAGAGAGTCAAAGTTACAGCGAAGTTTAATTTGCTCTTCTGAAAAAGAACTTGACAACTCTTGCTGACCCTGCATATTCGTATAATTTAAACAAATGCATACTGTATATATGGAAAGCGGAAACTTTCTAGCAACTGCATGTCCAAGTTTTCCCTTTGGAAGAGGACTTTCATGGGTGAAGTTTGGACTTGGGATTTCGTGTTGTAAAACTGATTTTATACTCGGTGTTGTAAAGTCTCTTTAGGTAAATTTGGCTGCCGCTGTTAATGCCAACTTCTCGTTTCCAATCACTGGCCCTAGTTCAAGTTTCCATTCTCAGCAAAATTATATCCTTCAAGACTTGTGTTTTTCCAATTTGCAAGCATTTTTAAGCCACTGTCACTGGCTCCTCAATGCAATTGCCTAAGAGCTCAATTCATAAAACTTCCCTGCCTCTTAGTACAGCATCCATTTGCTGCTCTCAAATACTCCACCACTAGGATTTTTCTTAGTCAAGTAAGTGGCTTAGGAGTTAAGAGTACATCTTTGTCAGGCACCTGATTCTGCTACCTTCCAGGTGCCAAGACTGGCTACCTTGCTTTTAAAAGAAATGAAGTCTCTCTCTATACTGTATATAGAGCATATATAATATACTATGTGGTCTGACAGCTAAGGTTTTTGTCTTCCTACTTAGATGATCATAAAAGGGGTTGTTGAGTGTTATCTCTGCATTAATTACCAGTTTGGAAAACTTTCTCCAAATGAACTTTTCAGAAATAGAGCTGGCAAATATTGTTACTTTTCCTTTGTACCTGGAGCAAGAAGTGGCTTGAGGGAGCTTCGCGGTCCTTCAAATGTAATTCAATAAGTAAAGGTGTCCTGCCTAGAGGCAGAACTCACAAGCTGACTGTACTCTGAGTCTCAAGATATTTGTAAGTGTTTGAGTCAGAGGGAAGGGGGTAAGGCAGAGGACTGGAGCTTGGGATCCCTGTTCAGAGCAGCTACAATAGGCACACAATGGAAATTGGTGCCTTGATGGGGGTGGGGGGGAGATGGACTCAAATCCCAGCTGTGCAATTTGTTCATTGTTTGATGGACAAAAGGCAGTTTACCCAGGCTAATGGCATACCTGCCTGGGTGTCCAAATGTAACTAGATGCTTTCACAAACCCCACCCACAAAGCAGCACATGTTTTTAAGTCCTCAGTTTTCTATTCACATCAGTCTCATAATACCCACCCTGACCTGCTGTAAAAGATCTGGAACAAACAAAAAATGGTTACACCTACAGTGAGTATTTTCTTATGACTATTGCCCTCAAATTTTGCTGGGCATTTTCATTGTAGCCCAGACATCTGGAATCAATTGATATTCCATTTATTTAAGATAAAAAAGAAAGGTCTTTTAAATTTTGAATTTGTGAATGATTTTTGAGAAACAGTGCTCTGAATTCTTTTTCTTTCTTTTTTTCTCTTCTCTTTCTGGTTCTTCCTTTCTTTCTCTCTATATCTTTCCTTTCTCTCTCTTTGTTTCTTTTGTGTTTGACAAAATAAAAGACCAAGAAAAGGACGGACATATGGGGCCACTTGTTTCAAACTTTTAACCCCTAAGCAAGTTTGTTATTGTTTTCTTTGGGGGGAACATAATGTGATAAAATTCTCTGGTTCTCTGTGGGTGTACTGGACTGTTACCTGAACTAAGGGAAAATGCAGTGGAGGTTCTCTCTTGTCCTAGAACTGTAAGTGCTGATATTTATCTACAACATAACTCAGCAAAAAAGAAAGAAAAGGAAAACAAAAAGCTATAAAAAAATAAATCTTATATTATGAAATGCTAGTGATCTATATGTGAGAACTTATATGTGTTATGCCAGAAATAACTATTAAAAATATAGTTTTGACATCTCACGAAGTTCTCAATTCACTAAGGCTACCTCTTCCCATGGATTTTACAAGAACTGAAGAACTTCAAGCCATCTACAGTTGCAGGTGCTTCAGCATTACTATAGACTCAACAAAGAAGGGAGGGATGGAGAAATAAGATTGGTAGAGTAGCATGCATTCTAGAACTGGCCCATTGCCAGAGTGTGGGGTATGTTCTGTAAGATCAATTCACAGTTCGCTCTTTTGAAAAAGGCAATGAAGTCCAGACAGGTTGGAACTGTTGAGATTTCCACTGGAAATACTGAAGGGGAAACCCCCCCCCAATTATTTTATGACTAAGAAAAATGTAGATTGGATGAGAACCTGTTTCCTGCAGTCCTGGTGGCTTTGGCTATGTGGAGGTGAAGGGTTTCCATGCAGAGGTCCTATTGAGAAAATGGAAGAAGTGTTCAGTTGAGCTTTCACCTCCTCCTCTATTTTATGTCCATTATTTATGATGATTTGCAAATAGAGGGCACTTTTCATCTTAAACTGTTTTACAAGCATTAACTGAGTATTTACGTTTTGTTAACGAGAGGCAGGGGTTTAAGGTGTTTTTTTTTTCCCCCAGTTGCTGAGCTGAAGGTCTGGCCACAAAAATGGAAATCTTAATTAAAATGATGGAGGAAAATCTGCCGCTGATGTAGAGAGCCATTAAGTTGAGAGTTTATGGAGGGCAAGGAAGGCAAATGACTGAGTCTGTTTCTCCACAAGGGATGGGGTTGAATGGGTCTGCCACTACTGTGAGGTTCAGAAAAGCCTTTTTTTATAATGATCGCTTCCAGCATAACTCTATGACCCTTTTGATAAGGTCCCTCACTTACATCCTGCCAGTGACTCTTCCAAGGCCACTGAAAGTAAATACAACTGAGAGAGGTAAAGCTACTCACCTTGGGAGGCTTCCTGGAAGAAACCACATCTTTGTGCCACAGTAGCAATATGGAAAAGTTAGTGATCACCTTAGCATTGTTTCTACTACTTTGAGAGAGGATAGAGCCCTGAGCCACAGAAATCCTGCTTTTGGCCAGGCTGCCATTTTTCTGTCACCGGGGGTGTCTCAGCATATTCTGCTATAAAATGGATACAGAGACACATAAGTCCCTCCAAGACATGAAGTCAGAATTCCTGTGGCAGAAAAAAAAACCAAAAACAAAAAACAAACAAAAAAAAACTTTTGCAGGTTTTGAGCCCAATGCCCTGTTCATTGAAGGCAATCTCTCCACACATGTTGATTTGATACTGCACTTGACACAGAGGACTTTAGAATACAGAAGATGTAGGGTCTACTTAGCATGAGCCAATTTCATTCCTAAATCCTATTTTTCCTGTTTCTGTTTTTTTTTTTTTTTTCACTTCCACTTGTGGTTGTGTTAACTGCTGATATTCCCCAGGTAAGAAGTTTCTCTGTCTCTCTGTCTTCCTCTCTGTTTCTGTTTCTCTCTTTCTCTCTCTCATTAAGTGAAAAAAAGCAAAAACAAAAACCCTGTAATGACATATAGTATTTTCACAAATCCGTTTTTATCCACAGTAAATTATCTTTAATCAGTAGCTGGGGAATGATGTTCTAGTTAACTTAATATTCTGGTCCATAATGAATGCATGGGCCATCTGTGGATGGCCAATCTTTAGAGAATTTAAATTAATAAAATGTATTTGGTCCCAAATCTGGACTGAGCATAGTTTAACCTTTGACAGTTCAAAAGGTTTACCAGGATCTCTGAGTGGTGTGGGATTCTACTGCAATAATAGCAGTTTTCATTTACATAGTAAATGTTTCTAGATATTTTATCTCATTGAATTGCAATAGGAATCTGCAAAGAAGGGGTTCAGTGAAGTCCACGGTGGCAAGGGGATTAAACACAGGTTGTTTGATGCCAAGAAGTGCTCAGGCCACAGCACCCTGAGGTCCGTCACGCACTCTGTTGCACTGCTGTGCAGGGTAGTTCTGGCTAATGGCAGTAATGTAATGCTAGGAGTGAGGCACATTTGCCTCACCACCCCTGCCCTTGCAAGGACCAAGGAGGAAACATGACCATCCTTCTATTTTTCTGGCAGGTAAAGATGCACATTATGTCCTCCTCTCAGCTCTTCTACCTGGCCCTGTGCTTGCTCACCTTCACCAGCTCCGCCACGGCTGGACCAGAGACGCTCTGTGGGGCTGAGCTGGTGGACGCTCTTCAGTTCGTGTGTGGAGACAGGGGTTTTTATTTCAGTAAGTAGCCCTCCCTCTCACTGCTCTGTGGATTTACAACCACAGGCAGTGTGTGAATAACTGAATGACTGCCCGTGGCTGGCAGCCTTCCTCAGCCTCTGAGATCCCTCACCTTAAAGTAAGCCTAGTGTTTCAGCGGGGCTGTGGCAAGTTTTGCAGATTTAGGATGGAATTTTCCTCCTTAGCAGTTTGTCTTTTAACTACTTCCTGCTGAGCTTTCCCAAAATTATTGTGCTCTACCCTCGCTATTCCTTTCCTTTCAGTGAAAGGAAGGGACAGAATGACCCTGGGGAATTGAGGTTTTTGTTTTTGAGATCTGTTGGTGCCCATATAAACATATGGAAACATGGAGGCCTGTTTTAAGTGCTAGGTAATTTGGAGTAAAATAGTAAGGTGGACTGGGAAGAAGAATTAAGGGGGCACATCCCAGATGTCTCCGCGCAATGTGAAATCACCAGGGACAGAAGGTGAACTTTGCTCAAAGGCACATTTACGAAAACACAGGCACTCTCTAAATGCAAACTGAAATGCCATATTAATTTGTCCTCTATGAAAATTGACCTTGATGTTTTGTTATTGCCTTCCTTCGCCTTAGCTTTTCTCTGGGACTCTCCAGTGATATCTCCATCTGGAAAAGGGTTTCTGACAAGTGTGGGGTTACTTATCCCATAAGTAGGTCTCAGGTGATTAAAAAGCTGACAGTCAATAAAAAATAGACAGCCCAGGCAATGTTTGCAAATAATAAACACAAACATAAGTCAATGTTGCCTGGGGGAACTGAGCACTTACAGAATCTACCTCAGAGACATCTATCTCATTGTATATTATAGGACAGTGAAAGATTTAAAGCCAATTGCTCATTCTATATAATTATTTGGAATTTTAGAGAGTTCCAGGAAACTGATGTTCAGGTCCTCAGTGAGTATGAATCATTCTTGGAGGTTCATTATCACTGGAGTGTAGACAGCTTACCTCAGTTGCCCACTAAGCTTTGAATAGCTCCTCTGATGACTCACACACTTAGGTCTCTCTCATCTTCTTCCCAGGGAAGGTGGTGTGTGCCTGTACGTGCGTGCATGTGTGTGTGTGTGTGTGTGTGTGTGTGAGAGAGAGAGAGAGAGAGTAGGGGGAGGGGCTTGAATATAGCAGTCTGGGATGAGTCAGAGAGATGGCAAGGGAGAGGCTGATGGGGGACTGATGATTTGTATTCACCATAGATTTGGCAACAAATAGTCTTTAAACAACTAGTGACAGAGAATGAGAAGTGCTTTTTACTACTTGAATGGGCAAACACCCCTCTCTGTTTCCAGCTAATGCTTTAATAGAATGAATTCATTTATTTTTCTGGCAATAAAGCAATTCTATCCAGGTCTCTGTTGTAGGGCAGATGAGTAAGTTCATTGGGTGGGTACTTTTCAAATAGCAGACTTGTTTTACCTTTGAAATATACAGTGAAAGGCAAATGTGCTACATCAACATCACCCAATGATGGGTTGTCATTATTCTTTACTTTGCTGCTACTGATCCACATATAAAAAAATGAATAAGTAATTCTCACATATTATGCCCAAGAGGATTTTTTTTTGCCTTGATAATCCATTTGTGCAATTTCCTTTGATCCAAGGATCAAGGTAATTGCCAAGTCCACAATTGTCTTCCGTTATGTGCCAGGATGAATTGCCTTATTCAACTTGACGTGCTCCAGGATTTCCATGTACAGTAGAAGGAAACTGGATCATTCTGTGCTTATGATGTTTGCATTAGATAATGAATATGGGAATGTAAATAATGATTTGGTCTCAAGTAACCATATAATACTGATACATGTGCACACAGACGGTTAAGAGTATTGGACAACTATGATGGAAACCAATTTCAAGGCACCAACAGGTTCTTTTATTGAAATCACCTAACCAGGATCTACCCTCTCAATGGGCTCCTTGATGCCAAAGACTATGTTTATTTACCACTGAATCCCAGTATCTAGCTCAATGCCTGGCTGATATAGAAAAGGCTCTATTTGATCATTGAACTGACAAGCTTGAATTAAATTGAACCCAATTGAATGGAATGGAATTACTTATTTGGGATCTCAGTCTTCAGAACCATAAAGAATTAGGCTTGTCAAATACTTTGGATAATTCGTATCTCCTATTTACCCAGCTATTGGATAAAATTGTTTTTCTTTTATTCAACTGAATATGACTGTGAGGCTGACTAGAGGCTGCATTTTGGTCATCATCCCTAAGCTACACTGATGGTCTGTTTTGTGTCTGAGCCAATTATTCTAACAGGCATTAACTGTTGTCAACAAATTGTATTGAGTTTCCTTTTTGTCCCTTGAGATTTAGTGTGCGTGGAGAAGTTAGCTCTAAGCATTTATGGGTCTTTGAGATACTTTTTTAGAGGAAAGCAGTCTTCCTCACCTCTATCCCCTGTCAGTTGACTCTTTTCATTGTTTTTACCTTTACTTTCAAAGTTTTATTGCAGCTGTGCCTTTTATTTAAAGCTGCTTCAAATCCACTTTGAAAGTACAGTTTTGTTGTTGTTTTCTTTTTTTAATAGTGGAAAGCAGTTTCTGATCTTCGTTTGAAATTCAAACATCTAAAAGAAAATTGCCTCCATATTTATCTTTTTTGTCAGGTCAGAATGTTTAACAAGGAGAGTTTTCTTAACCTATTAGACACAGAACAGTTCTGAATAAAAAAAAAATAATAATGTTTACTTTGTATAGACTGACCCAGTGTGTGCATGAGCTCATATTTCTCTATAAGCACAAGTTCTACTACAACACAGTGGAAGCAACCTTCTAGATTATCTGTTTTGTGAACAATTTTTCCAGCATAAGTGGAACAGTTCCTCTATAATTAATGCAGCTTCCCCAGACATTTTATGAAATGAAAGTTCCAGTGAATAGCTAATTACTAATTCTTCCCTATGCATCATAGTAAGAGAAGGTATCAGCCAGTCTTGTGCTCTCACAGTCCTGTGAGGAAAATGGTGGCGTAATGAAGTGGCACATTGGGAAAGAGCTCACTATTATCTTGCCAGATTGATGGAGCCTCATAGAGGAGGGCTTGTTATAACCTCATTTTGCATGAAACATAGCAAGAGGAAAAGAGCTTCAAGTGAAAAAGAAGAAGTTAAGCTTGCCATAGATATAATTTTTTGACAGTCATGGTGATTAACCATTTTAACATGTACTTTAAGGGCTTGTGGAATTTCTCTCTTTGGAGATACTTAAAAATTTGAAAGACAACCAACCATCTTGGATGGTTTCAATTAAGAGCAACCAAAAGAAAGCAAGTTTCTGGGGTCCTTTTTAGTTTTAAGAGTCTATAAACAGTCCCTTAAATAAACTGTATATGCTTTACCTCAGCAGTCTGGGAAAAAGGAGAAGTAAATCAAATAGAAAAGAAAGTTGGATACCCTTTCAGCTATTCCAGATTTATAGCTTTTGTAAAACACACTTCCAATTCGTAGTTATTAAGAACAGGTCTGAATAAACTAAGCGCATTCTTCATGCGTTAAAACATACTGCTTTATGGAGTTTAGGCGAAACTTTGCAATGAATTTCACTGTTATTGATTGCAACAAACTTCCTAGATCTAGGTATTATTATTAACTCATGTTTCTTTCATTTGAAATATAGTGCTCAGAAAACTGCTCCCAGACCTGTCACTCATTAGCTGTATGCCTTTGGCAGGCATTTAAACTTCCTGGGTCAAAATGTCCTTGTCCATAAAACAAGGGGATTTTGTTAAAGTAAATGACTTCTTATAACTTTAACAGACTCATAGTCCAGGTTATAATGAACAAGGATTTGGTGCTATTCAAGAAAGGAGAACCTTAGATTTAAGTAGTGACCAAAGAACATTTAGTGTCCTTTATCTTCCCTAAAGAGTTTCTGTTTGCCCCCAAAGATAGAAGATTTCACCTACGTAAAGAAAGAGTAGCTAGCTTCTTTGTGTTGTTTTGTTTTGTTTTAATCTGGGTTTCAACCCCTCAGGAGTGGAATAGAAGCTCAGACATGACCAAATACACGAAAGTCATCTGGCCAAAGGAGCACATGCAAGCAGATTGCCATGTTTCTTTGTGAGGAAGGACCAGCTGACAGTTCTCATCTTTACATTTTCTCACTCTCTTGGATGTGAGAACAAGTGAGTAGGTCAGTTTTTAGTTGCCCTTTATTAAGTCAGATGGGACAAATAAGAATCTATAGGCTTCCAAACCTTGACCAATCGCCTTTTGCCAGCCTATTGATACTGCCTTTCCAATTAAAGAAGGGAGTGTATAGTCCAGGGCATTCAAAGATATACACCATTAGCATTGCTTTGAGTGGGGCTGGGTTTGAGCTACACCATTTGTATTCCACGGCTTGGTACCCCTTAGACCGCCAGCCATGCATTTTTGTATGACAGCTGCTCAAAGTTAAGGGTACAGTCTCTGGTTGTGGAAAAGCTTTTCTCTTTGAAATTAATTGGCACATGTGGGGTTTTACCTTATGGCCCTGGGCTCATTAGTACCACTAAGCTAATAGGCCACAGATAGTCTTAAAGAAAAGTAATGTGTTTTTATATTGATGCTAAATGCTTGCATCCCAGAGGACCAGTCTATGCAAACAAAGGACCACTTAAAAAGTGATAGCTTCTGTGAAAAATTAGAAAATAACTTGCATTTTTCTGACATTTTAATACTCTTTAAGACCATCTCCCTGTTGGAGAATTATAAGAAGCAGAAGAGTGAAGGGTTCAAGACCAAGAGCATGGTCTCTATTGCCAAGAATTCAGAGTTTGAATTCTAGCTTACATGGTAGGTGGCCTTGAGCAAATTATTTAACCTCTTTGTTCCCCAATTTCCTCATCTGTAAAATGGGGCCTACCTCATAAAACTGGTGTAAGGATTAAATGAGTTAATGTATTAGAACATATTAACTTAGAATACTGCCTGGCACATAGTAAGCACCATACATGTTAGCAATACTTATTTACTCTCTTGTGGGGTCAGTTGCAGAGTATATTGTAAAGGTTGAGGTATCTGAACAGCCCAATTAGTTATACACTCATTTTCTCTCCTTAAGGGTAGCTGATAAAACCTATTATTAGTAGTAATAGGTATATAACAATATCAGTAGCAAGAAGAATTCTTGTATTTGACTAGTATATTTACTTGTTCAAAATCCACTTGCATCAGCTCTCTCACTTTGGTTTTACCCCATAGAAGGCAAGAATTATTGCTTCACTGGACAAATGAGAAACATGAGACACTGAGATTTTGTGACCTACCTCACTGGACAGATCTAGAACCAAAGTTAGGGTCTCTTGTCTCCAAGAATTATGTTCATTTGGCCATTTACATTGTTTAGTGGCCCAAAATGTTATGGCATAGAGAGATGCTTCCAAAAATCCCAGCCCTCTTCTGAGAGAGAGTAACCCAGTTGATTCTGAACACTTCTTTGAAAGGAAGCACGAGGGAGATATTCATGTGATCACCCTACATTTTATCTTCCAGAAAAATTTAGGAAATACTAATTGAATATCTTCAGGGTGCACAAGAAAAGTCTTTGATTAGGGGCTGCTGTTGTTCAAGAGACTGGACCCCACTCAGATTGAACACTGCAGTTCACCTGTGAACACCAGGATATGCAGTATGATCCGGGGGAGATCTTCTTCTGGACAACTTCAAGTTTTCTTCCTTCTCTGCCAGCAAACTTCAAGTGCCTCATGTCTTGCAGCTATCAGTTCTGTTGGTTTTTCTCAAAGACCAACTGAAGAAGGGCTGTTTATTTGGACCGGGAATTTTTCTCTGGGTGTTATGGGAGAGAAGCGGTAAAGGAGAGGGGATCACAAGGTGCCATAATCCAGATAAGGTGCCAGGCAGGAAGAGGCTTCTCCAGCTTGGCCATGGAAGGAGTTACGAGAGCAGCCAGCGGTTTGGATGTAAGGCTTCCACCTGTGCAGGTATCATTCAACCAGTTGTTTGACACTATTGGTTTTGGATGTCTCTTATCTTAAGTGGCTGGTAAGTTAGGCATTTTGGATCCAGAAGAGAGTTTTGGCATTCTTCAATTCCCTGGGCCACCATATACCTTTTCCAGACATCATGTACCATGCCAGCCCTCCTCAGGGCCTCTGTTAAGAGCCAACCTCAGTCTTCTACCAGCCTTCCTTCCCATTTCACAGCCTATAACAAAGCATCAGACAATGAAAACAGGTACAAGATCTCTCTCAAGTAGATTTCTCATTGTTATCAATAATGGGCTATAAAGCCTTTGCTGTTTTATGCAGCCAGATCTCTGACAACCATGGTGGCAAAAAATCGTTCTTGCACTGGGCTGCTGCCCTGGCAGAGTTCCATCCTACACCTCCCTGTGAAACATCAGCAAGCCCTTACATCACAAAGAATTACTTTTGATTGCCTGGAAAGTTCAAATCCTCGGGCCTTATTAGCTGTTAGACTAAGAAGATGACAACACAGCATTTTGTTTGTCTTTATCTATATGCGAGATCATGTTTAAAACAGCAAAGAGCTGTTATTTGACGTGCAGTTCCTTAACTGCAGCAAGTTGTATGCCTATTTAATGCATTGTTTAGTCTCACATTGGCTAAAGCCACTTAAAGAAGCACTTGGCAAGCTCTGGCTTTTCATTCTTGGCATAGCTGCCCCTCTTACTTTTTCACTGAACCTTAAATACCAAGAAAAACCCTTCACTTACTTTGTATCTGGCATATTGCTTTATGCAATTGGCCAGAACTTTTGCACGTGGCCCTCTGCATTTGTCCTAAGGTAATTAATGGCTTTGCAATATTTGATCAGCAGCAGCACGGACACAAAAAGAAATTGTGCAACCAGTAGAGACCACACAGTCTTTTAAATTAAAACCTTTTGCATTTAATGCTCAGGCATACTACAGGATAGGGTTTCCATGCCAAAAAAAAAAAAAAAAGTCATGCTGAAGCCCTTAGAAAAACACCCAAGAACCTGATTATTGATTAAGTATATATCTCTCTAATATCTCCTGCTTAAAAATACCTGATTATTCAAAGGAAGTAAAATTAAAGATTGCTATAAGTTTGGAAACCCTTGAAAAATAGTCAAACATCAAGAATGAAACTCATAGAGAGGTGACGTGTCCAAGGTCACACTGCTATTTAGTGGCAGAAATAGAAAAAGACACTGTTGATTCTCTTTTCTGATTCCAATAGGGTGTTTGGCCTCTGGCAGCAATGAACCATGCCTATGTCAAAGTTACCTGGCAAATTAAAATGGCCTGGGAGAGGCTCACCCAAGTGAATATAGATCTTGGTGGCTCTCTCATTCCAATAAACTCACCTGAAACTTAAGTTTAACACTTTCCCTTGCTATAGAAATTTGCACGGACTAAAGTAATTCCTTGCCTGTTTCTTATACATTACACAAAAACTTCAGATGTGCTTTAGGCATTCCAAGTCCACTTAAGGTCATAATTTAGACTATTATTGTATATTATATTATTCTGACTCTTTGGTCACTCTCTCCAATGTCAACTTGGGTAGAGCTGCTTTGGAATGACTTAGCAAAGCTGTGCTCCTGGAAAATCTGAAACAGTCTGACGAGTTGTTGGATCAGCTTTTTTTCTGGAGATTTCTCTGACGGCCCCAGGCCAAAAGAAATTTACACCTGATTTTTTTGCAGACTTCCAAGCAAATACTCTATGAATCTCTTCAGATTTTCTTCTTTCATCTGTGGTCTTTATGAGGTATTAAAAGGCTATTGGAGGGGTCTTTTTAAACTTTGAAATCTGGTTAGTCATAGAGTCAATTCTGTGAATATTGCTGGGAAGATGGTACTACCTCTGTGCCATTTACCCTGGTGAAAGGGCTCTTTCATCAGAGGCAAGTGATTAAGAAAGTCTGCACTGAGCCAACCTACATGCAGCCAATAACTCCTGATTATCTATGAAACTGGGGAAAGGAGCACCAAGAGTTAGAATTCTGGATTAAACTGATTTGAGGACACTATAGATTTTGGCCTCCTTACTTCTCCTTCCTCACTGCCCCAGCCCCAGACCCTTTGTGAGACCAAGTGGCATGTTTTTAAATCCTACTTCATTCTCATACTCCCCACTCACCTCCCCCAGCAGTGTCATTGGCAACAGTTTCTCAACCTCAGCACTATTGACATTTTGGGCCATATAATTTTTTATTGGGGGAGGGGGCTCTTCTGTGCATTGTGAATGTTTAGCACCATACTAGGCTACTACCCCCTCTGGATGCCAGTATCCTTCCTCCGAGTCATGACAAGCAAAAGCATCTCAACATTACCTGATGCCCCCAGGGTGGGGGTGTGGAATCACCCCTAGTTGAGAACTACTGGACTAGAGGTCTCCGGAAGAGAAGCAACTAGAGGGATAGGAAAGCCATGAGTGAAAGAAACAGAGATACTAATTATCAGTCACTGGTTAATCAGGAGCCTATGTTCCATTGCCTAGACTAAGCAATGAGAAGATTCACTGTGGTTTTAAAAACTTTTTTCTGAAAATATAAAGCTCTTCCTATAGGCTATCTAGAAGGTATTTGTAGGCACCCCCTTTTGTGTTATAGCTATAGAACTCATTTGTTTTAGTAACAACAGTAAAGGAAGGTAGAAATGGTGTAAAGCAAAACTTTGTGCTTAGAAATATGATTATGACCACTTGGAGCAAATGAAAAAGAAGCCCATTATCTATGACCTCAATATTTATGGCTGTTTCCTTCTTAGTCCTATAATAAATAGCTGTCAATGTCCCACAAGTGAAAAGGCCTGGCTCAGATATGGTGGTCATAATTTTTCTCTTGCCTTCTGTGTCTTTCCTATCTAAATATCATCAGAGGCATTTTATTGCCCAGAAACAACCCCAGCAGAAAACAGAAAGATCAATGAAGTATTACATTGGAAACCAGAAGTTCCACATTTTAGCCTCACCCAGTTCCCCTTCTTAATAGCACTTCTCCCCCTTGGCGCAGTTAGTTAATATCCTTGGGTCTTACATTCTCCTCATTAGTAAAGTGGGAATTAAAATATTACACCTTGTTTTGAGGCTCAACTATAGAAGGCTTTGAAAACCTAAGGGGCCATCCAAATATGTTACTGTTAATTGATTGAGTTGAATGCTTTGCCTGTCTCTCTTATCACCACAAATTATTTCAGTGGTTTGACTTCAGTTATTAATGGCATTGACCCATTAGTTCAATTGTTCTTCAATAATTATAATTTAGAAAAGTTAATTTGGCAGTGTATCATCTCAACCTTATTAATTAGAAAGAAAAGTATATTGGTATCTTCTATTAACATATCGCTTTGCATTTAGACGGCCCAAGAGTTAACTAATGGATTTTCAGAATGTTCACCCAGTATTACTGTTCATGTCCTCATTGCAGGAAGCAGCAAAAAGACAGGGCTTATCACTTTACCACACTAAGCTTGCTTAAAGAGTGTCTCCTCAAGGTGGTTAGGTAGTCACTGAGGTTTCACATGGAGGCAAAAGATTTCCATTCTCCCAAATCAGCTATTAGTGATTTCTGCTCAGCCTCAAAATGCAGTGTTCAGCAGAAGGAATGTACTCACTAATCAGAAAAGTATCTCTGCACTCTCAGGTTGCCCAGCGTAACTGCTTCCTTATCTCAGCCTGACTTAGGAGAATTGAATTTTTTTTGTTTGGACATGGTTTTGATGAAATCAAAATTGTGAGTTTTATCAACATATGGTCTAGTGACCATGTGGCATGTGGTTCTTCTATCCCAGATGCTTCTCATCAAACAGCTCTCAGAGACACAATATTTGACTTAGCAAAGACACTTTTGAACCTCACAATCAAATACTGGTCACTCCTGCTATGAATTTTCATTCTATTTTGAGCTCTTCCAAAAGAATAAAGTTTTAAGGGTTTTTGTTTTTGTTTTTTTTTTCTGTCCTCCACAACATTTGGTGTTGGGCACTTAGTTAACCTGCTTGACTTGATGTTGACAGAGTCATCCCAATAGTTATTTCCTTCTACCAGTCCCCAGAATATACCTCCATAGCTTTTCATTTGCTACTGCCACCATTAAGGATCTGAGATTTAAGGTATAGAATAAAAAAGCCTATTTGAGATATCATTTCTTGGGACCCCTTCACTATTGCCCCAGTAAAAATTTCTCCTAGCTCAAGAGTAAGCTAATTCTAGTCCACAGAGAATTTTTAAGGTCTACCAAAAGAGCCTTCACAAAGAGGTTCCATCTGTGGAAGTGGCTTTGTACACAGAACCTCCACTCAGTTCCTCTCTATTTCATCTGAGATATTCATACTAAAAGGAGGGATGGTAGTCAAGGGGAGGCTTATAACAAATGATAGATCCCTGACAAATAAGCCCCCAAGGTAGGTATAACAGCTGGAGCATCAGCCCTCAGAGAATAAGTGATTTTTATCTGTCACAGCATAACTGAAGAATTGGAGATCTAGAAAGTATTGTATAGAGCAATCTGGTTCCGTGTACTCACTTCCCAGATGAAGGAAATGAGATCCAGAAAATAACATAATAGGCATGTCACAAAGCACACTGGTGGGAAAGCCAGAACTGCAATTCACTCACTTAGTCTAGGGCTCTTTGCACAGGAGGACACTTTAAACTTAACCTTGATAAATTCACATAAAGGTAGCACTAGCAACTCAGAACTGCTATGTCAGTCACTTCTGGTGTAATGTATTAGAATAGTGTTTGACCTTAACCAGTCAGAAAACTTTTTTTTTCCAACTTCTATCACCATTGGATAACATCAAGTCTCTTTATTCCAAATCTGATCAACCTGACTGTAGGACTATGGATCTTCATAGATTGTAGTAGTTTGATGGATTAGAGGTTTAAAAGAAAATAGTAAAGAGCTAATTTCTTTTTAGAGATGCCTTTAATTTCAAGTCATGTCTGTTGGTTGCCTAGTTTATGCATTTTGAATTGCTTGTTAACTCAGAAGCCACCCAAAACAAAAGGTATTGTCGAGGCATTATTTCTGTCTCTACACATTCCTGACTTGCTAGTCTTCCATGAAGGTCTTCCATGAAGAAGCTTAAATTTTCCTACGTATTTTGAGTTTTATGTTTCTTTCCATTAAAGTTTCCAGCCGTTCATAGACATATTTAGTTTGGCAGAAGGTAGTGGTGACTCATGGAATGAAGAAATTTGAAAGCAAAGCTACTGAAAATGGATCTAATTTCTTCTTGGGGTAATTTGGGAGCGAGCGATTGATAATTTGTCTAATTTTTCCTGGTTTCATCAGCTGCCATACTGCCAAATATTTGTTCCATATGGATGCTTTGTTATTACTGAAACATATAACAAATTTCAGCTGCAACTATATCTAATATGGTCAAAGGGTAAGACTATTGTTGGCTCATTTTCTCATTGTTTTTGGCTGGACACCCTCAATCAATGGTTATTGAGTGAAAAAACAGGATCATATTGAAACCATTTTCAGCATGTTCCTTCCTATGGATCCAACCATTTCACTGTGAGTTTGTCAAGCACAGCAAATGTTCCTTATTAAAGGGATGATTATGTTTTCAGCATAGACACGACTGCCAGTTAATTGCATTCACCTTATAATTCCGCTCTCTCAATTTGGTGTAGAGATGTTTTTGGCTTTCCAAAGATCCTTCTTTTCTGCTTATTCTTGCCTCCCACTACAGAACAGATATTTGGGGATAGATTCTGAGAAGATCAATGACATACTCATAAAATAAGCATCATTTCAGGCTTACCTTAAGATAGACAGTCTGTGGGCCCTGAGTTATTTGAATCATAAGACTTACAAAAGATATTAGTGCCACAAATCTGGCTGGCATTTCTGTAGATTACTAGTGCTTTGCATGCAATTATGGAAATCTCCCTTACCAGAGAAGCCAGACAAGGGTTCAGTAACATTGCATGAAAACACTATGCTGTGTAAGCTAAAGACACAGAAGGATTTATTTCTGGCTGGTTCTGAAGTAGGCACTGATCACTTATTGTCTTAAAGTCATCCATCAGGTAATTGATTTCAGTCAATATAAATGATTTCAATATCCGCCCCCAACAAAAAAACAATGGCAATAATAAAGAACAGAGAAGTCTCTTAGAAGAAACCAGATGTTATTGAAGACCATGGAAAGTGGCAAGAAGTCTCTTGTTTATGATAGGAAAATCTGGTTTGATTAACAAATGTTCTAAGGGTCACACATGTCACATAGTAAAAATACAGTTTAATGTATGAAGACTAGAGCCTTGCTACTCAAAGCAACCTGATAGCTTGTTGGAAATGCAAAATCAAGGGCTCTACTCCAGACTAATTAAAACAAAATCTGCATTTTAAACCAGATACCCAGAGGATTCCTACGCATATAAGGATTTGAGGAGCCCTGGTCTAGGGAATAACAGGTATATGTTGATTGGTGACTCATCTGTTAAGAAAGAAAACACAAGCTAGTCAGAGTTGAACTTCCACTGAAGATTTGAAAAGTGTTGTTGGGGCCAAACATGCTTGTGATCATTAACAATATATATGTTGATTCAACCATATCAAGTCCCCAATTCCTTCACGTTGGTAGAATCTTTCCTCGGAGGAAGTATAGAACTTCCCCAAGGATAACCCCAAGGCCTGACCTTCTATGAACTGGAAATTGGAACTCCTAATTGCTGTGGCTGCAATTTCCAAACCCATCACTGGGGCCAGGAACTGAGATCCAGTCTTTAAGATCTTGCCAGCTTCTTTTTCAATAGTTACATTTTATAAGAACAGCCAAGCAAGAGTCCTTAAAAAAAATATTTCTAATTGCATTGAGTGGACAAATGTGTGTTTTACTCATATCAAATTGTTTCCTTTGTCATGCTTAGCCAGGTTCTAATATTATTTCTTATGACTCTGCGTTGATTAGTTCCATTAGGTTTGCTATTGGAATTTAAAAGAAATGGTTTTGAGTTAAGAGAACTGGGTTTCTGTCTTCTACTGGAAGATGAAGGGTAAACTTTAAAACTGCTTTTCAAAGAGGCAGCTGGTTTCCCAGTTGAAAGCCTTCTCACTAGACCCTTTCTGGAATTCAGCAAGTTCCCCAGCCTGAACCCATTTATGAAAGTCCAGATTGCTAAAGGACGTGCTTGTTCAGAAAGACCTCATCCCACAGCAAGGCAGGTAAAAGTGAGAGAGGGCCAGTTTATAACTTCTTTTCTTTGAATGACACTAGAAAAAAGAGGGAGGGCTTTGAATGAGGGACTTCGAGTATCTTGGATTTACTCAGAGGTTTACCACTACATAACTTGGTAAATTTGGTGAATAGTCCCATGAGTCTCAAAACCTGTTTCCATTGGAACAATAATATTAGGTTGAACCATGACATTCCACTTCTGAAATGGGGTCACTATGATCTCTTTTCACAGTTCTCCAGAGGGAAAAAAATAAGTCATAGATATAGTTTTCACATTTTTTTCATATACATTTTCCTTAACCTTTAAGTATCTGTCACCTCTTGATTATATTCAATTCAATTGGTGGTATTTGACTTAGCTCACAATTATATATTTAATTTATTTAGACTTAATCCATAGCATTTTAATGCAACATCCCTAACTCCTTGGCAATCTACCCATTGAAAGAATATTGACAAGATACTCTCTAAGACCTTTTCCAAAACTAACATTTACTGTTGTTTCATGGAAATCTCTAAAATCCTTTAAGAAATCCAACTGGATATAGAGCTACTGTTGTTCCTTTATTAGAATTCTTCTTTTATTACTTTTATTCAGAGCTTTAGTAAAATGTATAGAAGTAAAATTATGGCACTAACCTATTTAATTATAGCATTGACTGGGCACCTGTTCTGTGCTAAGCACTACCCAAGAGAGGATGAAGCCATGCCTTCAAAGAGATTTCTCACTCGTATGTGAAGACCCATTAAATATCAGTCATGAACCCCAAGCTTGAATCAGATAGAAATGTTCCTCCCCTATATTATTCCAACCTACACCATTCATTGAGTGTCCTCTGGTTAGCAAAACACTAATGATGAAGGGAATGAGTAAAGATATTAACTACCCTCATGGAGTTACTTTAGAGCAGATGTCACAAAATGGTGCCCTATTCCCACCCCACCTGAATCTAGCCCACAAACATGTTTTGTTTGCACCAGCAAATATACTTTTTACATTTTGGAATTATAAAAAACAAGAGATTTTAAATAAAAAAAAAAAAACAAGGATTAACAGCTTCTCTTGAAGAGTTAGGTGATCTAGCATTACTGGCCAGTATTCCTGAGTAGCAGCTTTGTCTAGAGCTTTATAGGTAGGATATATGCCCCTCCAGCTCACCACAGTGCCTTACAGGCTTGCTTTATTCATCTATATACCCATCATGCCTCAGCATACATGGACCTGTGCCACCCCTTCCCCAGATATGCAAGATCTCTTTGGATATTAACCATTCACCTTTCTTCTTTATTCAACACAACACTCATTTATTGCCTTTTCACTATCACCCATGCATTAGACTAGTCACTGCTGATTGCACAAAACTTTTCTTTAAGGTGTTTCATTGTTCTCCTCAAACATAGCAAGGGTATAGCTCAGGTAAAATTTAAAAGATGATCAAGTCTTCCTGGTGAAGGAAGAGCCCAAATCTGAAAAACTGAACGTTCAATTATTTAGAGATCATCAAAGGGATATTTCTTCAAGAGTAAGTGGAGCTTTTGGCCAGTGACTTTGTAAAGCAGGAAAGACCAAGTTCCCAGGCAATGCAATGGACAAGTTACGCAATCACTCCAAGTGTTTAGGACAATGGAGACCATCAAACCCAACTCTTTAGACAAAGTGAGTTGTAGCATTGTAGTTTGTTTTGCACCAAGATCCAGAACAGCTGTTACCAATTCACTGGAAGATTACACATGTGTCCTTCCTTCCATTCCCATCACTATTTAGGTCCTCCTCATCACTCACCAAAACTATTGCAACAGCCTCCTCAATGATCACTCTGTGTCCAATATTGCTTGACACCAGCCATCCCACCCATGAAATTAATCTTTCTAAAGCACAGTTTTAATCACTTTATTCCTTTTCTAAACAACTTCAGTAACCATCCATGGCTAAGTAAATTGAATCCAAACTCCACAATTTGACAGTAAGGCATTTTATATAAGACCTCTATCTAACTTTTCAACTGTATTTCCTAACATTTCCCTACAGCAAAGCTCACAAACTGGCAGTCTGTAAATTTTATCCAATTTTCAGAAGTATTTTGTTTGGCAAATGCAAAACTTTGAATTATCTGTCAATATAAATGACTCTTACTTCTACATTAGCACCAAAATCTTCGCCACTTTCTATTGCATTACTATGGCCCACTCACACCTCTACATGATTTGCTTGGCTCTTATAGGCATTTGAGTTTATAAATACTCCCTACATATTCCAACATCTAACCTAGATGATTTCCTACCATATATAAGATTTTCTTAGGCTTTTCTCCTGTTCTTCTTTCAAATGTCACCTCCTCTGAAAAACCTTCTACCAGATTTCAACTCTCTTTCCTCTAAATAACAATACTATTACTCTTACAACACTTATAACCTATTCTATATTGTGTTTTTTGGTGAGTGTTCATGCTTTATACCATCTGGTTGGCTATAAGCTCCTCAAAGTTGAGGGCTGTCTTATTAATCTTCTGTAAAATCCCACATACTCCCTTGAACACAACATGGTCCATGTCTGCATGGAATTAATTAAGCTATCTATTTTTCTTTGCCTTCCAGGCCTAGATTAGTAGTGTGTGCCCATAAGAAGGTAGTAACTCATTTGAAATGCAGACATGGCTGAGTCAGAATGTCCCCATGGACTTTTAAGCATTTTCAAGTAGGGAGTGAGAAATGCTGTATCTAAAGGAAACTACTGAGGGAATTTAGGTAAACAGAACATGATCCTTTTTGTTGGAAGCTGGCTGTGATCTTCCGATTAAATCCCTATTGCATGTCTCACAAGGAGCATCAGCAAACCCATTAGTATGCTCAACTTTCTTAGAATTATAGGAGTCAGTCTATTCCTGGAGGGGGGTGTGGGGCTGAAACAGTGAGTTGAGCCAGTGCCAGGTAGAGCACAAACCCCCTTGAAAAAAATGAAACAGAAAGAATTTTGCACACTGCATTCAAAGGTATCCATTTCCAGAGTTACTGAACACCCAGAAAGGCACTCTCATTCCTGTTTGCCCTGGCAGAAGGAAGAGCCCATCAACAAGTTGCAAGGTTATGGAGTCAGAACTTAGTGGCTCCAGAAATGGATCCAACTTAACGGATTTTGATCAGAATGACAGGTGGTAAAATATGAACTAAAAAGAAGACAGTCACTCTTCTAAAATATAATTCAATTAAGTAATGTTTTATGGACTAATATGTATCCAGGATAGTGCTAAAAATTAAGAGAAAGTTAAAACAAGAATGCAAGTAGAGACAACTAATATATTAACAAGCACACACCATGTTCTCCAGATATAACATAAAAGCCTGCCTTAAGTTACCTTCAGTCTGGTTAGGAATGCAAACTTTACCCATGTGTAGGAATTATCATCAAGGTAAACTGACAGCATTAAAATAAATAATAAAATATAAAAATGACATTCTTTTTTTCTATTCCTCCTGGACATGGCAGATGTCAAAACATAAGTTTACTAAATTTCCAAATGAATACTGAGAATTTTCATTCTTCTCTCTATATATAGTCTTGTGAGGTTTTCCATTGATGTTTAAAAGGAAGGTGGAATTTGTTACCTTCATGTACCTTCTGTCTGCCTGGGTCCTTAACTAGGTAGAGGTATGGATGTGCTTTGTTGCTTGAGAGAGACATGAAATACTGGGTGAACAAGCTGCTTTGACTTTGAGTTGATGGGAAGTACATGAAAAAATCCCTCCCTTTGTGAAGTTGCCAGGCCAATCTTTCCAACTCAAGTTCAGTGATGTATCCAAATCCTACCTGGAGTCATGAGGTCCCCCTTCCACGAGATTCTCTATATTTCCCAGCCAGACAGGATCTGACACAGAGAGCATGGGCATTATTGACTCCTTTTCTTTCAGCACAAGGATTCCTCAAAACAGATATTTTTCCAAATTAAATAGAAATCTAACTGTGGGTATCTGTGTATATTTGAATAATATTTTAGGTTAGGTATCAAAAGGGGCTCTGATTATGAGGTGAGGAGACTGAACACCCTGAGGAGACTTGGCTTTGCTAGTTATAAGCTGAGTGCATTTAGGCAATTCTCTTGCTTGTAAATGGGGTACTGTCAGCCCTGTTCTGCCTCCAAAAGGGGGTTTTATGAGTATCAGGCAAGATAATACCTCTGGAGTCATACAAAATTTCTAGGGAATCAAGGCCAGCTACAGGTTTCTAGAGATAACTTGAATGAGGTGTTGTTTGAATTGATGGAGTGCTAGGCTAGAGTACATTCTAAAGTTGCAATTGGGTTAGCCAAAATGACATTCAGGCACCTTCCTCTAGAGGTTGGGACAGCCATTCCTTTTTGGGTCATGTATGCTTTTTGCTGGAATTACAAGGGCAAAAGTAGGAGTAGCTGTATTATTGGTCAGTGCTTTCCATATTCCACCATCCCATGAGTAGGGATAAGAGGTTAATTAAATATATCTCTCGGGCAACAGAAATGATCAAGGCTGTCCCTGGAACACAGTTGCTTCAAAAAGTAGGCTTTTGTTTCAGGGAAAATCTCCCACAGAGAAACATGGAACACCAAAGAGAACTATAAATAGGACTATCATTTATGTCAATTATAAATAGATTTGTTCCCTTTTGATTAGAAGATTAGTTCTAGCTGAAAGTCTGTAGTTGAACTGAAATGAGGGAAAAGCTCCTGACAAAATATTATTACATGCTAACAGTTAGATTTGATACCTTTTCCTCCCTGAGGTATTTTCTCTGATTTTCCCTAAATGAAGACATTTGTGTTTAGAATCCACTTTTAGTCTTTGAAGTACATTTATTCATACTTCATCACCTCCTCAGGATCTCTCCTTATCTTCTAAATTAGAATACACACACACACACACACACCCCACTTTTTAAATTGAAAAAATTGAATAAATTGAGTATCAGCGTTAGGAATTCAAAAGAGGTAATATTCTCCTCAGAGGCTCCCAAGATGGTCACCATACACTATTACAAAAGTTTGCCTTTTCATGAAGGAGATTCTTTACCAAATTGCAGGTCCTTAGCAAACAAATATTAGCATAATGACTGAAGGGCCAAAGTAAAAGATCAGTAGAGGAAGGGTCGTATCCCACAGGCTGTTGCTACTGATCACTTGTCAGATATGCAGCCATTTTCCTTTCATTCCAGAGGGATGATTTCCATTCAATATCCAGATGAACCCCAACTCTTTGGGTCTGGTTAGTCAACTCCTTGTCCTCTGCTCATGTTCATGACTCATCTCTTCCCAGGGCCAGAGAGAGAAGTGGCAGCTTCCCATCCAAGCTGTCTGCTAGGTTCATCCTGGGACGAGGGTTTGTGGATGGAGCAGCAGGGTGCTGCTGTACCAGGCATGATGGAATTCAATGGAATGCATGTTTCCTGCATGCTAGAATGAAGGGTTGGAAAACCTTACCTGAGTCTAACCTACCTTGCCTCTTGGAGACTCTTGATCTCAGCTATCCCAGACTCAGCATTAAGAAAGAGACTGTAAGTGAGAGTAATTGGGAGGAGAGGGCAGACGCAATGAGCAGGAAACTTTCTGGGAAATTCCTCCCCCACTTTAAATGCTCTATCCTGATTTCACTGCAGGATATTTGAAAATGAACTTAGCTTGTCAACTGGAAATTCACTGCCTGACCCAAGATTCAAGGGAGATTTCTGGAAAAACACTAATCAGGGATTTGGAAAGCCTGGGCCCCAACACATAAAGAAATATATTGAATATTTTTAAAGATATAAAATTCTTAGAACTGTTGGACAGTTTTCTGTGTGTGACCTCTCTCTTCCAAGTGGCATTGCTCAACAGCCCAGCTCTCATCAGAAGGCTGACATCATGCTGTTGTGCAACTCACAGCCATTGCAATGTCACTTTGCTAACTGCACTTGCTGTGTATTCAACTACTGAGAAGTGGAGCAGCTTTAGGTTTTGAGTCAGAAGTTCTGAGCAGGATCATTCCCATGAAACCCGAGCCCTTGGTTCTTTTAAAAAGTCAAAATACATTTGGATCTTGCAAATCGAGAATGTCAGAGCCAATATTTTCTTCTTAATCAAAACCCAGGAATGCCACAGTGGGTGATAGGGGCCATGTCCTCCCATTTTCTCATTCCCTTCCCCCACACTCCCAGCCAAAATTCTCCAGGCTTGAGAGAACTGAATGGAAATGAAGTTCCGGGCTTGCATGTTCAGTCCTGAACTTCTCTACTGAGCACTGCATTATGGTGGACTGACACAGTAGGATGTAAAAACATGTGACTGAGATCATCCATTTGTTCCCAGACAGGTAGGTAAACAGAAAATAGGAAAGGCTTCTTCCCACTCAGCCTTGCATTCCCAATCAAGTATTTAGGATTCTGTTCAACAGCCCAATTCTCCCTCCAGTGTTGGCCGTTGAACCTGCTGACTCTTTGATGGCGAATCTTCCATCCTCATCCCCTTGTATCACTCTTCTAACTCAATCTATGAAACGCTTTTCAAAATTGAGGAGATGAGACCCTTCTCCATTCTAAAATAGGCTGGTTCAGAATGTTCTTGGGAACTTCATGAAGAGCTCTCTCTGAGTCCTGTCTTATTCACAAAGCTGGCAATGGCCTTCAGGAGTAAGTAAAGTAAAACATAGCACATTCAAGAGACCAGGTTTACCTTGTTCCTTTTGTGTGGCTGTCATCTTTCAGGGAAATCTAGAAAAAGCAGAGAGATGAACCTGCCCTTCACTCCCCCTAGGGAAAAGGAAGGGAAAACCCTGACATTCCCCAGACCTCATGAATCACTCCAGAAGATCAGTAGTAGCTTTGGTTAATGGGAAGTTTCAAGAAAGGAAGCTTCCAAAAATTTGCCATGATGCTTGTGAAGTGGAATAAGGATACTCACATTTGGCTAGAAGTTGCATCTGGTGTTTAAGAGAGGTTTTGAATAGATAGGATTTTGATAGATGGAGAAATTCTGGGCAGAGAAAACAACTTAGTGGAAAAGCCATGAACAGCAAAATATAGGGCATCTTTGCATGTGCATAAGCCATCCAGCCAGTTGTTGGGGTAGTATGCTAGTGGAGAATAGTGCAAAATAAGCCCAAAGAGATAGGTTAGAGAAACATTTGTATTGAAGGAGAAGAATAACTAGCACTTTCTAAGCATTTATTATATCCATGGTACTATTCTAAGCACTAATATGTATTAATTCTTTAAATCCTCACAACAAAACTGTGAAGTGTATACTATCAGTATCCTCACTTTAAAGTGAGACTACTGAGGCACAGAGAAGGATATAATGCGTATAAAGGCACATAGCTTCTAAGTGGGACAAATGGGGCAAAACCATGGTTTTAACTCAGGCAGCTGACCCCAGCATCCATTGTACCTGGTAACCTTTCAGCATATTGCCCATAGCATGCCTTTATTCTTTGCTTTTTCTTCCATCCCCTCTTCCCTAGCTATGGAAATACTGGGTAACCTCTAAGGGCAAGCTCATATATTCCTTCCTTAGTGAGATCTCTTCCAACTCCATTGGTAAGAATTTATCTTTCCCTACTCCAAGTTCCTCTTTATTTGAATTTATAGTAATTTTTCCAATCTTACTTATATTAGAGTTAAGTATGTGCTCATTTATAAACTTCTATAATCCAGACTTGTCTTCATATCCCCCTTCATATCCTCAGACCCTGGGATAGTGCTTTACATGTAGAAAGTGCTCAATTAACATAGCTGAATTGAATATCAGAGTCCACTGGTTGAAGCCTGGGGAAATGTCCCCTAATCCCACCATACCTCGTTTATATCATCTTTCCAAATTCAAAACAACAACAAAAACAACAAAAGACTAAGAAATCTTGAGCCCTACAGGGAACTCCCCCACTCCTGAAATCCTACAGCCCATCAAAAACCATTTGGAGAAGCATAATGTGGACAGGCCACAGACCAAGAACACCATTCCAGGGTTACCCTGCTTGGCTGCAAAAGAATGCTAACTCTAACAGTGCTTTTACAGGCTAAAAGGTGGCCACACATGGATGAAGTATCTCACCAAGGGCTGTGGGGTTCCAGGATTTCTGAGAAGACTCCCTTTATTCTAATAAAGTTCTCGGTTTCTCAACCCCCAAATCCCAATTCCCTGTGGGAGACTCAAAAACACCCAATTTAATTAAAACCTCTCTTTTTTCACATTGAAGTCACAAGTTTTCACAGGGTGCAATGTGTTGCTAACCCAGCAATTTCCAGACTAGACTGCTCAGGAAGACAGGTACTATTTTCTTTTTATGGCCTATGTCCTTAAATTGCTTTACTGCTTAGATATAACTGAGGGCCAGGTTGCTCAGAGAGATTCCAGCCCAATCTCTCCCTCTTTCACCCAGCTCTTTTCTGGCCTGGAAGATTTCTTTCTCCCATAGGTGAGGTTACCCAATAGGAAGAGAATGTCTTATCCTTTTAGAAAAGTATCCTTTTAATGTTTGTCATGAGTTACCTCCAAGTTCAGAGAGTCAATAACAACAAGTAAGCACAGTGTGATGCCTTTGGAAGGATGTCAGACAAGCATGTGGAATGACCTACAATTATCTAATTGTCAAGGCCAACACTACACAAATTGAGATATGCAAAGTTGAGTGCTGAAATGTGACGGATGAGTGCACAGTTATTTACTGAGCATCTATTATATGCCAGGCTCTGAAGCAGGTGTTAGGGATTTAGTGCTGAACCAAACTGACAGGTTTCCTGACTTAGGTGCTTAGAGTTTAGCCAGAAATGTGCTAAGGTCCAGGGCTAAGGGTGAACAAGGAATGGTGAGACTCCTATGCCCTACATTTGTCTGGGGGGAGAACTATACAATACATGCCCCAAGCTTTCTTTTCTTCCTAACCGTTGGAATATTTTTCTAATCAATCTCCCATCTTCTTCTTCTTACCCTCTCTTATTATTGTTGCCCTCTATAGCAGGCATTGTTGCATATCCACTGTTATAGGCATTGGTTTAGATGCCTTGTGGCAAGGAAGCCTCGATGTTAGGTTCAGTTTGGGCTCTTGCTCTTTCCTCGTCTTATCCCAGACAATCAAAGGAGGCAGCTTAAATTGTGTGACTAGTTTGCTTCTATCAGGAGTCAGACTCATTGTTCCCCTCTGTTTTTCTACACATACTGGGATATTTCATGTACACTAGAGTCTCTTGTCCTGGGAAAGCCCACAGTTCCTGAGGTGTTAAGTAAAGGAAACAATAAAGTGTCCATGGGCCTATGTCTTGGCACCTTGATCTCAAGCTTCTAGAAGTGCCAGCTTCCTGGAAATTTATTACCTACTTTGTGTACACAAACAAAATAGAGAATGGTAGGAAACACTGGGCAGGTATCAAATTACTTGTTTGATAAATATCCAAGTGCCTTGTGCAAGGAAGAGCATGGTCTCTGGTCCTTGATTGAATCTGTAAGGAAGTCACAGGTTTTGATACAACTTCTTTGATGAACTCAATCCCAATCTAGGAGCCAAGTGATTTACCTAGAATAGTTCTGGGAATAGATAAGCCAGACTTAATGTGGGGGGATCATTGATCAAATCATATCAAATTAGATATGAAACTGACTCACTTGATATGATATTAGAATGTATATTTTGACATTGTTTATTTTTCTCACCAGCAGACTTTTTGGTTTTCCAAAATCCTTTTCTTTGTTAGAATGGAAAGAATGAATCAAAATTAGATGCATAGATAGAAGGATAGAATACTGAAAAACAACATGTAGAACTTGAGAAAGTAAAATCAAGAATAGGAGAGAACTTGTTTAAGTGCACCAAATGAACTTGAAAGAAGAGCCAATGTGTCCTTTATCTGTATTCACCAACACAGAGTAAAAATCATAATCTCCAAATAAAATGGTTGAAAACCCTGGCCTTCAAATGGGAGGTGAAAAGAGATTGAGAAATCCAGAAAAGCAGTGTTTTATCAGGTCTAATTTAGTCCTAGAGCTATTGGGAGTCCATTTGTCTCCAAGTAGAGCATTGCCTGGTGTCTGTGTTTCTGTTCATGCAGAAAGCTGCTGGGGCCATCAGAGCAAGAGAGACTTCACAAAGAAAGTCAGAAAGCAGTGCCAAAAGGCAAATACGGTTCCTGTCACAGCCAAAATAGTTCACTTACCTCTTTGTGTTGCTCTTTTACTCTGTAATGGAGCAATTTCTATGAGAGTTGTGTAAAAGTAAGGAGATTTTTAGCTTTGAGTGAATTGGGCAAGAAAAGCATGAAATTTAGTGAGGGAAAGAGTGATAGGGAAATAATATAAAAGCCCTGGAAAAGAGTGCTTCCTCTTTAGAAAATCTACTATGTGAAAATCCACACTTGTAAAACAAATACACTCTGGATGGATTTTCTCAGTTCACAAAAATTTATCACTTTACTAAATGCTTTTTAAGTCTTCATCTTGTGCCTTCTCATTTAATGTGGTTGAACACTTCTTTTGCTCTCTCTCCCTCTCCCCTCTCTCTACCCTACATCTACTAGAGATGAAAAGGAGAACCCATGAGGTGTAGTCCCTCAGAG